GGTGGTGGTGGTGGTGGTGGTGGTTGTGTGGTTGTTGTTGCTGTTGTTGTTGTTCGCGAGGACACTACTGGAGGCCCGTTGCTCGACCCCCCCCCCCGAGCAACGCCACGGGGCCACGCACGGGCCCCGCAGGGCCCCTGGTCCGAGCAACGCCACGAGGCCTCGCCAGGCCGCTGCAGGGGTCTGCAGGGCCCGGCGGCGTTGCTCGGAAGGTCCTTTCGGGGCTGCTGCGGAGTCCCATACAGGCCCCAAAGGGCGCACCCCTCTCACGGATCGTGGCCCTGGCCCCACAGGGAGCTCCACCGAGGCTTGATTTCGGCGCACCCCTCTCGAGGCTCAGGGAGCTCCACCGAAACTTGATTTCGGCGCACCCCTCTCACGGATCGTGGCTCTGGCCCCACAGGGAGCTCCACCGAGGAGGACGATGATGAGGATGAGGATGACGAGTGAGGATGGTGAGGACGAGGATGAGGACGATGACGATGAGGATTGTTGTGACGATGATGATGCTGATGCTGATGATGACGATGATGATGATCACGATCACGATCGTGATGTTGGTCATGCTGATGATGATTATGGTGGCGATGATGATGATCATGATGATGATGATGATGATGATGATGATGATGCTGATGATGATGATGATGATGATGATGATGACGCACAGGATGGCGATGATGAGGACGATGAGGGCGAAGAGGCGGACGATGATGATCATCATGATGATGACGATGATGGTTATGATGGGCTGGTCGTCGTCGTCAGGGTCCTACAGGATTCCATCGGATTCCTATAAGAAGCCTACAGGTTTCCTATAGGATCCCTACAGGGTCCTAAAGGATTCCGTAGACATCCTTCTTGAATATTATAGGGTTCCTGCAGAATCCTAGAGGATTCCATAGGTCTCCTATAGGAATTCTACGGGATCCCTACAGGGTCCTACAGGATTCCATAGGAACCCTATAGGAATCCTGCTGGAATCCTATAGGATCCCTGCAGGGTCCTACAGGAGTCCATCGGAAACCAATTGGAATCCTGTAGGAACCCTATCGGATCCCTACAGGGCCAAACAGGATTCCATGCTAATCCGATTGGAATCCTTGAGAAAACCTCTAGGAACCCTGCAGGGTCCTACAGGATTCCATCGGAATGCTATTGGAATCCTATTGGAATCCTATGGGATCCCTACAGGATCCTAGAGGATTCCATAGGAATCCTATTGGAATCCGATTGGAAATATTATAGGGCCCCTACAGGGTCCTACAGGATTCCATAGGAATCCCATTGAAATCCTAGTGGACATCCTATAGGGTCCGTACAGGGTCCTACAGGATTCCATAGGAATCTTATTGTACTACTAGAATCCTATGGGATCCCTACAGTGTCCTGCAGGATTCCATAGGAATCCTATTGGAATCTCATTGGAGACCCATAGGGTCCCTACAGGGTCCTACAGGATTCCATAGGAATCCCATTGGAATCTCATTGCAATCCCTTAAGGTCCCTACAGGGTCCTACATGATTCCATAGGAATTCCATTGGAATCCCATGGGACTCCTACTGGAGTCCTATAGGATCCCTGCAGGGTCCTACAGGGTTCCATAGGATTCCAATAGGAATCCTATGTTGGGTCCTTTTGGATCCCTATTGGATCCCTTCAGTGTCCTACAGGATTCCATAGGAATCCTGTAGGAATCCTAGAGGATCCCGGCAGGGTCCTACAGGACTCCATAGGAATCCGGTTGGAAAACTATTGGAATCATATGGGGTCCCTACAGGGTCCTACAGGATTCCGTAGGATTCCTATATGAATGCTATAGGATCCCTACAGGTTCCCATAGCAACCCTATAGGAATCCGAGGGGGGCCCTATAGGATCCCTACAGGGTCCTACAGGATTCCATTGGAACCCTATAGGAATCCTATAGGATCCTTACAGGGTCCTGCAGGATTCCATAGGAGTCCTATAGGAGGAGGAGCTGGCCTCGCTGGCGCGCGGTCGGTTTTCGGACACATGAGTTCGCGGGGAACAGTAAGGGAGCCCACGGAGATTCGGAAACACATATAGATTTACGTCAGCGTATGACAGAGGTGTTGCGCGTTGCTCCCCCCCCCAGGGGGCAACAACTGCAACGTGTGGCCTGGATGAGAGCGCTCGCCCCGTGGGCGAGGACACCGCCACGGGCCCCGCCGGGGTGGCCTGAGAGGTTGTCCTTGCGTTGTTGTTGCTGCTGTTGTTGTTGATGTTGGTGTTGGTGTTTTTAATGTTGTTGTTGTTGTCGTTGTTGTCGTTGCTGCTGTTGTTGTTGTCGTTGTTGTTCTTGTTGTTGCTGCTGTTGTTGTGTTTGTTGGTGCTGTTGCAGTTGTTGATGATGGTGTTGTTGATGATGCTGTTGTTGCTGCTGTTGTTGTTGGTGGTAGTGTTATTGTTGCTGCTGCTGCACACTGAAGAGAAGAACGGGAAAGCGGACAAGAAACGCGCAAGGAAAGAACAAGTGGACAAGAAACGAAGGGGCGAGCAAAAAGTCAAGCGTCCACAGACAAGGCGAGAGGAAAAACAATGAGGTGCGCACATCCAGGAGGTTTTGTTGGTACCCCTGGGTGGAACGCCAAAGACCATTCGGGCGTCCGCGACAGAGCGCACCTCCCCCGAAACGGCGACAGGCAGAGGTAAGGAGCGAGGCGACAAGGAGAAGGGGGGAGGGGCAGAAGGAGATGGACAGGAGGCTGATGAGGCGAGGGTGCGGCCGTGAGGTGTGCGCCACCAGACCCCACCGTTAGGCGCGCGCGCGTCCCCGCCAGAGACACTGAGAGGGAACGAGAAGACTATTTGCAACTAGTGGGGTCTGCATCAGGGGTCACACCGCTCCGTGACGCGCCCTAGGAAAATTAAAGTTTTCTGTTTGCCAGTCCTGCGCCGGGCAGCCCTCACGAACCAGCACGCCGAAAGATAACCGCATGGGCCGGTACAGAACAGTTCGTGCAATGGCCAACAGTGGAGAGAAAGAGATGTTACGCGCTGCTTTTGCTGCTGTTGCTGTTGTTGTTGCTGTTGCTGCTGCTGCTGCTGTTGTTGTTGTTGTTGTTGATGTTGATGTTGGTGTTGGTGTGTTTCTTGTTGTTGTTGTTGTTGTTGTTGTTGTTGTTGTTGTTGTTGTTGTTGTTGTTGTTGTTGTTGTTGTTGTTGTTGTTGTCGTTGTCGTTGTTGTTGTTGTTGTTGTTGTTGTTGTTGTTGTTGTTGTTGTTGGTGTTGTTGTTGTTGTTGTCGTTGTCGTTGTCGTTGTTGTCGTTGTCGTTGTTGTCGTTGTCGCTGTCGTGGTTGTGGTTGTGGTGATTGCTGTTGTTGTTGCTGCTGTTGCTGCTGCTGCTGCTTTTGTTGTGGTTGTGCCATTTCTAGAGAATGATTGTTATTGATCCCACTTCCAGTAACAACCATTCTATATTTTCTATCTTAAGTGCTCCTCTTGAGGCGCGCACGCTGTTTTTTATCAGCCGCCCCCGGCCCCGGCCTGGCCCCCCCGCCCGTCTCGTGCCCGCCGGCTGTGCGCGGGGCAGGCGTACGTTACGCGTTCGTTGAGGCACGCCTGACCTGGGCGTCCCGCGCCCCCCTTGGCCTGGCCCCGTGGCCCCCAGCCCTAGCCTGCGGGGGCCCGCTCTCTTGGGATGCTTCTCGGGATGCTCTTGGGGTCAGAGTTCGCCGGGGTGGCGCTCTCGGGGGCTCTCCGGGTGCAGTTGTGGGGCCTCTTGGGAGCCTCTTGGGGGCATCTTGGGCTCTTGGGGGCCTCTTGGGGGCCTTCCGTACCCTCCCCCGAGCTCCGCATTCCTTCTTCCTCCTCTGCACTTCCCAGTCTGAAGGTGTGAATGCTACTCCCCCGTATCGGAGCGCCGCCTCTCCCTTTTTGTGTTTTTGCGCATCGGATTTCAGCCCATGCTGGTGATACTTCCATCGTCGTGTTGCCTGGAACGCTTTTTCATTTTCAAAATAGTGCCCCCCCGCTGCAGAGGTGGCCCCATTTGAGGATCGGCGCTTTGCCCCGTCCTGCAGAATGGCGCTTTCGGCCAGCGCGGGCCACACTTCTGGATCACAGTCCTTCCTCGTCGTTGTCGTCCTGCTCTGCCTTCCCCCTGCTCTGCCTGTCCTCTGCCTTTCCCTCGTCCCCTCCGTGTCCCTCCTCTGCCTTCCCCTGGTCTTGCTACTCCTCCAGCTCGTCCTACTCTTGCTGTTGCTGTTCCTCCTCCTCCTCCTCCTCCTCCTCCTCCTCATCTTCCCCCTGCTCATCCGCACCTCCTCCTCCTCCTCCTCCTCCTCCTCGTACTTCACCTCCTCTTGGAAGGGGTATTGGCGTCAGATATGGCGCGAGCGCACATAGCTCCCCATCCGCCCTTTCTCCCACTTCCCTCTCCACTTCTCCCCTCCTGCTGCCTCCCTCGTCTCTTCCCCACGATCCTCCCTTCTTCCTCCTCCCCCATTCCCGCCTCGCTCGCTCCTTCCTCCCTCTAACTATCCCTCGTCCTCCTCGTCCCACCTCCCTCTCTTCCGCTTTCCTCCTCCCTTCCCCCCGCCCTCGACGCCTCCAGGCGCCCTCGAGGGCCCAGAGCGTCAAGCATCCCCAGACTTCGAGCCTCGGTCCTCGAACCCTGGCCCTCGAGCCTCCCTCCAGGAGGCGGAGGAGGAGGAGGAGGAGGCGGAGGACGGAGTTGGAGAAGGGGCAGGAGGAGGGGCAGGAGGAGGAGGAGGAGGAGGAGGAGGAGGAGGAGGAGGGAGGAGGGAGGAGGAGGGAGGAGGCGGAGGCGGAGGCGGAGGCGGAGGAGGAGGAGGAGGGAGGAGGAGGGAGAAGGAGGAGGCGGAGGCGGAGGCGGAGGAGGAGGAGGAGGAGGAGGAGGGCGAAGAGGAGGAGGCGGAACAGCAGGAGGAGGAGGAGGAGGAGGAAGAGGAGGAGGAGGAGGAGGAGGAGGAGGACGAGCAGGGACTTTCTCCCTTCCCCCCTTCTGACGCAGGTGGACGTCTTCATCTCGTCCGTCCATCCCACGATGGACCGCGCACAGCAGGCCCGCCGACCCCAGGGGAGGGCAGGGGGGCCGGGGTGCCCGCGTGCCATCGGCGACGACGGACGATGACGACAAACGTTGGAAGAGGACGACGACGACGACGACGACGACGTTGAAGAGGACGACGACGAGGACGACGACGACGACGACGAGGATGACGACGACGACGACGACGACGACGACGACGACGACGACGACGGCGAGGATGACGACGACGACGACGACGACGGCTACGGCGACGACGACGACGACGACGACGGCGACGGCGACGGCGACGACGACGACGATGGCGACGGCGACGACGAGGACGACGACGACGACGGCGACGATGACGACGACGACGACGACGACGACGACGGCGACGGCGGCGGCGGCGACGACGACGACGACGACGACGACGACGACGACGACGACGGCGACGACGACGGCGACGACGACGACGGCGACGACGACGGCGACGACGACGATGATGACGACGACGTTGGCAACGACGACGACGACGGGCGAGCCTCTTTCAGTGGGAGGGGGGCCGATGGAAGAGGAGGGGGCCCAGACCTCTGCCGACCCGAGCACACTGCGCCGGGAGGTGGCTCGGCCGGCTGCCGGGCGTCCCCAGAAGCCGCTTCTTTCCCGGCCCCTTGGGGCCACCGAAGGGACGAGCGGGATGAAGCGCTGGTCCAAGGGAACGGGTCGAGGGATCCAGGTCGGAAGGCTGCTGGCGGGGGGTGATGACCAGGGCGGGTGGACGTCACGGCTGGGGTCACGAGATTGCCCCAGATTTCATGGCCCTTTTTTTCTTTCCTTCTTTCAGCGCCTCCCCTGGGCCCCCCCTCGTCCACGCACATGCCTCGGCCATGATTTTGCGAGTCCCCTTCCTGGACGCCCCCGACAAGGGGCGACGTGAAAGTATTGAGTCGTTGGAGGTCTCGGGAGGTTGGGGGGGAAACGAGGGAGGCAGCAGGGGAAAGGAGGGAGGGAGGCAGGTGGGGAAGGGACTGGAGGCAGGAGGGGCGGGACGGAGGAAGAGGGAGGGAGGGAGAGATATCGTTTAAGCTCGGCCGGCCCTCGGCGATGCAGAAACAGAGGGGCGAAATGGAGGCGAAAGGGTTGGGGATGAGAGAGGCAGCAACGTTGACCCAGCCCTATCAAGACCCCGCTGTCCGGCTTGCACCCCGAGGTGGAGATAATTAGATGCCCTCTCAGGCGGGTCTCGCGGCATCCTTCCCCATCTCGAGGGGGTACATCGGCTGGTGGAGCCAAGGAACCCTGGACCACTTGGGATGGGGAAAGGTCTGACGATGATGAGAGGGATCTAGACGCCGACCTGCGAGCCCCGGCCAAGGGACTCCGCGCGGGCGGGCCAGGCGGCGCCGGAGCTCACGACTTTGGCTCCTCCCCCTCCCCCTCCTCCTCCTCCTCCTCCTCCTCCTGTTTCTCCTCCTCCTCCTCCTCCTCCTCCTCCTCCTCCTCCTCCTCCTCCTCCTCCTCCTCCTCCTCCCTCCTCCTCTCCTCCTCCTCCTCCTCCTCCTCCCCTTCCTTCTTCTACGACGGGGAGGAGGAGGAGGAGGAGGAGGAGGAGGAGGAGGAGGAGGAGGAGGAGGAGGAGGAGGAGCGACGGGGAGGAGGAGGAGGAGGAGGAGGAGGAGGAGGAGGAGGAGGAGGAGGAGGAGGAGGAGGAGGAGGAGGAGGAGGTCTCAGCAGACGGCTTGGGGGCCACCTCTGCAGCCTCTGCCGCCGTGGCTGCCATCGCCGCCGCCACCCTCGCTTCGCGAAGCCTGTCCGCTGCCTGCTGGAGCCTCCGCGCCTCCTCCTCGGAGTCGGCGCTGCCGGCTGCGGAGGGGGGCCGCGGGGTGGGTAGGCGACCCGCTGGCTGCGCTGCTGCCTCCTTCACCTCGAGTAGGGGAGCGACTACAGAATTGACTTACCCAAGAATTGACATGTTCGGCGACTACGAGGGAAATACATCGAATGCATGCCGATGTGCGAGCATCCGACATATTTCTCGTAGACTCGACGAGCAAGCCAACTACGGGGTACATCAATTCTGCAGTCGGTCTCCTACTCGACCACTGGCCACTCCGGGGGTCTCGGCAGCTGCGGCGCTTGACGCTGGGGAGGCGTCCACGTTCCCAGCGCCGGCCCTCCTCGTCCTCGCGAGCCTGGCGTCGATCTTGGTTGGCATCCTCTGGGTCCACGCCTGGACCTCCGAGTGCTGCTCCTTGCGTCGGCGGCTGGGCTCCTCGGACGTCCTCCTCCAGCTTCTTCAGCGCTGCGCGGTCAGTCTCCCTCGATGTCCAAGGCTCCGGCCGACGCGAAGCACTCTTCGGCAGTCTTCATCTCGAACATAACCACCTTTCCTGTGGCCTTCCCCGAAGCCGCCGACCCGTCACCCGTGACCCCCGTGTCCGTCGCCAAGCCCTGGGCAGCGAGCCTCCTGGCCGCCTCCCCCCTCGCAAGCGCAGGAGCGGTCTCGCGCTCACGCTGCGAGGCTCTGGCCAGGTTGCCCTGCGCCTCGACCACCGCCCCGACGGCTTGGTCGCGGCGGGGAGAGCCGGCCACGCGCAGAGGGGGGTAGGGAGAGGGGGGAAGGCTTTTGGGAAGCACCCCTGCTTCTTAGAAGGCGCGGGCCTTCTGTATAGGCGTAAGGCGGGGGCCTCGTGGGAAGCAGGGTGCTTCTAAGGAGCCTTCCCCCCTCCCCCTCCCCCCCCCCTGCGCGCCGCCAAGAAACGCGTCCCCCCCACGCTCCTCAGGCGTGACGGAGGGTGTCCTCGGGGCTCTGGGACGGCTCGAGGGCGGGCTTCGCCTTCTGGATCTGGTCCGCGTGCAGCAGCTTCTGCAGGAGAGGGTCCGATGTGGACCTCTTGGTGTTCTCGAGCAAGGCCAGGCTGTCCACGTTCGAGGCTGGGGCTGGGGGGGGCGGTGCCTTCGAGCCCTGCGACTCCTTGATCCCGACCTTGTTGAGCTCGTTCGACTCGGCATCGTGCTGGCTGGAGGGCTTGGCCTTATAGAGTTTGACCTGTCTCCCGCACTCGCCTATCCTTGCCCAAAAGGGTGCTGATGTACTCGCAACGTCCGCAACCCGAGCACTTGCTCCCTGACTTGTCATCCGTAGCTGCAGCTGGCGTCCTCGACTCGGCCAAGCCGGCGTACCCACGAGAAGTAGTGGTGGGCGACGACTTGCCCCTCAAAGCCCCCTCGCGCCAGAGTCGAGGCCTGAGCACCTGCCAGAATGGTTTGGGCCCAAGTGGCCTGAGCCCAGATGGCGGGAGCCAAAATGGCTGCTGCTGCTGCTGAGGAGGAGGAGGAGGAGGAGGAGGAGGAGGAGGAGGAGGGGGAGGAGGAGGAGGAGGAGGAGGAGGAGGAGGAGGAGGAGGAGGAGGAGGGGAGGAGGAGGGAGGGGGAGGGGGCGAGGAATCGGGGGGGGGGAGGGAGGGTCGGTCGGAAGCGGGTGCGGACGCCAGGTCGCACCTGCATTGTTCGACCTCGTGCTCGCACACCAAACAGACAATCAGGGGGGAGGGAGGGAGGGAGGGAGGGAGGGCGGAGGGATGAAGAGGTGGGGGGAGGGGGATCGGATCAGGCGGCGGAGGAGGCGCAGGGGGGGAGGAGTAGGCGGCGGAGGAGGCGGAGAGGGAGGAGGCCGCTCGAGAAGTGCTGGCCGCTCCCGCATGCCAGGTCAAGAGCGTCATCGAGGCGGCGTTCGCGGGCGACCCCGCGACCAACGCGTTCCATCAGGCCACGTGGTGTGCGCCTCAAAGCTTCGGATAGCGGGATGTGAGGAGGAGGAGGAGGAGGAGGAGGATCCTGGAGGAGGAGGAGGAGGAGGAGGAGGAGGAGGAGGAGGAGGAGGAGGAAGAGAGGGAGGAGAGGGAGGAGGAGGAGGAGGAGGAGGAGGAGAGGGAGGAGAGGGAGGAGGAGGAGGAGGAGAGCAGGCCATGGACCAGCGCCTCAAGGAGATCGAGCAGCGTCTGGGAGTTCATTTTGACATACCGGCGATCGTGATCCACAAGCTTACCGGCGGGGGGGTGGAACGCCATCCTCCGATACTGCTTCGTTCCGCCTGCACTCCCCAACCGTTCTCTGCTACACTCAGGCATACTCATCTTCATGCTCCTCCTGCTCCTCCCCCTGAGTCACTGGGACATTGATGACTGTGAAGTCTCCAGACGTAGCGATCCCTTCTCTCCCACCTCGTACTCCTCGCTTTCCTCCCCCTCCTCCTCCTCCCCCTCTTCCTCCTCCTCCGTCCTCCACCTCCTCCAACTTCTCCTCCTCCTCCTCCCTCCTCTTCCGCTCTCCTCCTCCTCTTGCCTCCTCCTCCTATTACTACACTTCTTCTACTACTACTACTACTACTACTACCACTACTACTACTACTACTACTACTACTACTATACTACTACTACTACTACTTCTACTACTACTACTACTACTACGACTACTACTACTACTACTACTACCACTACCACTACCACTACCACTACCACTACCACTACTACTACTACTACTACTACTGCTTTTTCTACTACTACTACTACTACTACTACTTCTACTACTACTACTACTACTACTATCACTACTACTACCACTTCTACTACTCCTACTACTACTAATAATACTATTACGACGACGACGACGACGACGACGACGACGACGACTACTACTACTACTACTACTACTACTACGCCTGCCTTCACTATTACCACCACTACTACTACTACTACTACTACTACTACTACTACTACTACTACTACGACGACGACGACGACGACGACTACTACTACTACTAATATTAGTACCAATACTACTATTAAGACGTTGCCGACGACGACGACTACTACTACTTTTACTACCAATGCTACCACTACCACTACCACTACTTCTACTACTACTACTACTACTACTACTACGACTACGACTACGACTACGACTACTGCCACTACTGCTACTATTGCTACGACTACGACGACGCCTACTACTACTACTATCACTACTACTACTACTACTACTACTACTACTACTACTACGACTACCACTAGTACTACTACTACTACTGCTACTACTACGACGACAACTACTAATGTTATTAGTGCTACTACCACTTCTACG